TTCCCCTCCTCCCCCCCCCCCCCCCCCCCCCCCCCCCCCCCCCCGCTCCATACGCTGTTTGTTCTATTTCTCAGGAGAACCCTGACTGTGACACAGGGCCCTTAGTTGACGGGGATAAGAGCGGGTGGAATGTGAGAGCAGGAGGCAGAGGGCGGGAGACAGTCATCTTGCAGAGTGGAAAGGTGAATGGACGACAGCAAAGGAAATTGTGAATGATGTGTAACCCGGAAAGTGAAGTGTGCACAGGGAAATGTGCTGTATGGCTTAAAGCCCAGGGCTTTGCAGGTGGGCAGGCATCACACTCTGACGTCGGCCCCCTGCGGAGGAGGCCATCGTGCCTCAAAACAAGCGTGTAGACTACAACAAACACAAGTGTGCAAATATGCGAAGCCCTGCCACCCATCACTGGACCAACCCCACCTGCCTTCTCTGGGAGCTGTCAGAACCCACAGGCCCCAACCACAGCCTGTGCGCTAACCAGGCAGCGGGGACTGGGTTGCTTTTTGCAGTGTGAGAAGCTCTGTTGTAAGTCGGGCATAGCAGGTGCTCAATAAACGTGCTTCAGGAACAGTCCTCGGAATAAGTGCTAGTTCTTACTGTGTTGGTCACAGGCTTGGAGGGGACATGGACAGCAAGGCATTGATCTGGTCCCTTATCATGGCCTGTGGAAAGGGGTTAGTGAGAAGCTATTCGGTGAAAGAACTTTGCATGATTACATTTTTTCACTATAGAGGCCTCTCAACTGTCACAGAGGCCTGTTCATCTTTTTTTTTTTTTCTTTTGTTGAAAGCAAAAACACTGAGGTCTGCAGGTACACTGATATAACCCTCTCTCAGAAGCTCCAGTGAAAGTAACTCTAAAAATGGTGGATTTATCACTAAAGAGATGACATCTCTTTCTTTGAAATCTGTATTGGATGCTACAGTCAAGAAAATAAAGCAGAGGGCCGGGCGCGGTGGCTCACGTCTGTAATCCCAGCACCCTGGGAGGCCAAGGCGGGTGGATCACGAGGTCAAGAGATCAAGACCATCCTGGTCAACATGGTGAAACCCCGTCTCTACTAAAAATACAAAAAATCAGCTGGGCATGGTGGCGCGTGCCTGTAATCCCAGCTACTCAGGAGGCTGAGGCAGGAGAATTGCCTGAACCCAGGAGGCGGAGGTTGCGATGAGCCGAGATCGCGCCATTGCACTCCAGCCTGGGTAACAAGAGCGAAACCCCGTCTCAGAAAAAAAAAAAAAAAGAAAGAAAATAAAGCAGAGACCCCAACCATTGGTATTTGGAGCTAATCTTGAGCATTGGGTTGTTAATGCTTATTCAGCCAGACCATCAGGGACACCCTTGTACCTTGACAAATTCAAATTTGCTGAAATGACTGGATTGATTGTCTTGATGCAGTGAGGGGGGCACCCAGAGGAGGCGGGAGTGTGGCTTGATAATGGGAGAAGTCTTTGCAAGGTTTGGCTCCAGGTGGAGGATAGAGGCGGGAGAGGATGTCAGGTGTGATATAAATGTGAGAGTAAGTCTCCCTTGTGGGATCTTTTAACCCAAGTGGCTGCAGCAATGAGAGTCCAGGAATGATATGCAATTAAAGGATTTATTATGCTCAAAGGCCCTGGAGAGGGCGGCACCACAGGGGCGTAGGAGCCATGTTGGAGGAGTGCGAAGGGAGCGGGCTCCAAAGTGCAGGTGGGGAGCCAAGAAAGGGAACCTGTGGGCGAGCCACCCATGTTGGGGGTCAGGGTGGGGTAACCACGAGCAAAAGGTATGAGGGGATTTTACTGGTGCATGTTGCTGGGTCAGTCAGGGGAAGGCAAGAAGGGGACCTTGAGGTGGAGACCAGGCTTATCACACCAGTGTGCCTAGTTGCTTGGGGTATTCAGCCTGTGTGTGATGTTGAGGCCTCATGGAAGCATGAGGTTTTAATAATTTATCATATGTCAGGGAAGTGGGAGTCAAATCTGCACTGGTTGTTGTTTAGAGGTGGGCTTGGGAAAAGTTGGGGTTCACTGAGGTCTATTGGCTGTCAGGAGGCAAGGGTGGCTTGGTCATTGAGTTCCCCCAGTCACAAATGAGTGTAGCAGGGGGTCTAGGACATTCTTGGTTAGAAGCAGGAGTCCCTCTGTCAAGTGGGTGTTGTGGCATTTCACCACTTCCGCAAAACCTTGGGGGAAACCGTGTCCTGTGAATGCATAGCAGGTTACTCGTCTGTCTCCTTAGCCTGATGAAAGGCAGGGCTACCTGTTCTTTTTTTAGTCCTTGCAAATTTTCTCACTTTCGCTCCTGGAGAGGTTTTGTCTCTCTTAGGCGGGAAACACCCTGATCATTACAGTTCCGCAGATATTTCTATGAATGTGTGTTTGATCCTTCGTGATCTTTGCTCCTTAAGTGCTTTGAATCCTTAAGGATAGTGGTCAGGGACCCAGTGTTACAGGCTTGTAGGGCTGTGTGTGTGTGTGTCTGTGTTTATGTCTGTGTCTGTGTCTGAGTGAGGGAGCCAGTGTCACAGGGGTGTGTGTGTTTGTCTGAGTGAGGAAGGGAGGGGAAGGGATAGTGGTGAGGGACCCAGTGTTACGTGTGTGTGTGTGTGTGTGTGTGTGTGTGTGTGTCTGTCTGAGTGAGGGACCCAGTGTTACAGGGGTGTGTGTGTGTGTGTG